CGTCCAATGCAGAGAATTGATGATAGTCTGAACAAAATCAGCAGAGCTAAGTATATAAGTAAGTTAGATCTTACTAAGGGTTATTGGCAAGTGCCACTGGATGACGAGGCAAAACAGAAAAGTGCATTTGTTGCACCTTTTGGTCATTTTAGTTTCACTGTGATGATATTTCGGATGGTAAATGCACCCGCAACCTTTGTGAGATTGGTAAGGAAAGTCCTTGAAGGTCATGAAAATTATGCGGAAGTTTTTACAGATGATATTGGCGTTTACAGCGATTCTTGGAAGGATCACTTCGTAAGTTCTATGGTCGATACAATGACCTTGTCAGCAAATACAATTTATCATTGAGTCAAATGCTGACTGACGTTTTTCATACTAATTGTTAGGCCATTATTTACACACTGAATTGTCGACGGATTTTTCCGTTATTTCCCGATCATGACAAGGAGCACACGGCGGGTGTGACCGGTCGGCAGGGGATGCTCACTCCTCCATGGCACCTGATCCCACCTCTGATGTTTGGAGGTCCGTGTTTGCTCTGCTCCTATTTTGTATTGTATAATGGACTTTTGAGCTTGAATACTGTTCGTTATCTCCATATATTTCATTGATACATGTGAGAGGGATTTTTACGGCTTTACAGAATGCAAGTTTAGCCGCCCGACCGTCAAAGTGTAAATTGAGGTTTGGTGAGGTCAGTTTCCTTGGTCACATGGTAGGTGACAGTAAGATAAAGCCATTGTTGTCTAAGGTGCAAGCAATTCGAAACTTTCCAGTCCCACTTACCAAAAAGAAGGTAAGATCATTTATGGGCCTCATTGGATTTTACAGGAAGTTCATTCCTAATTTTTCTAGTCTTCCCGTACCACTCACAGACTTGAAAAGAATTCACCAAACAAAAGAAAAATGGACAGATGATCTTCGTACCGCATTCAAGGAACTGCATACAAGGAACTTAAAGGTAAGTTGACAAGTGAACCAGTGTTGAACAGTCCAGATTTCAGTAAACGTAGTGCTTGTATTATCTGAGCTTAATATGTTTAGAAATACATACATGTACTGATTCAGATCTCAAGTTTCAACAGTAGGACTACATATCAGTATCTCCACTCCCTTGGATTTCATTTATATTATTTGTATTCATTGATGCCTTGTTTTAATTATATCCACGGCAATGTGTTGTAAAATAAACGCACGTGAAGAAAAAAAATTAAGACCATAGACATTACCATTATAAACAATGAAAAGTAAAGAAAAATATCAAATTTCATTTCAAACTCAAAATGTGTTGACAATGACATTCTACATAGTCTATGAAAAGGTTCCTCCTATCTCTACATACTGAAGAAAAGAAAATAATTTATGTAGCCTAAAGTCATTGACCGGAACAGAAATCGACAAGCTTTTTGTAATTAAGGACTAAAACTCACCCTGGTCTTATAGTACGGCGCCCCATTTATAACGAAGTGTTCCTTTAAAGATGGTCAGATATTTATTTGCCACTAGTATTCTAGTTCAGACAATTATCTGCAGAAAAAAAGAAAACATCCACGAATATTAATACCAACAGACTAGCATTTATCATATACAATCTGACAATCAAATAGAAATATGATTCTCCAACTCTTAAAGTTAAAATGAAAAATGAATTTGATTTTTATTTTACTAATACGTGATTAATCCATCTATTCCCCCAAAAGATATCTTTACTGCAATTGTAAGTCTAAGTTTATATTTCAGTTTGTTTGATAACTTCATAGTAAACAGTTTCAAAGTGCAGTGTCATGTGCTGATAAACGTGATATAAATGCTAATTTTCAAAACCCTGCCTCTAAAAATTCAAGACACATCAACTGTTCGGAGTATTTTGCAAAGTAAGTCATAGGCCAGAGTCTGGTGGACTGTAAAGCTGTCAAGCAATACAATGTATATGTGCAAAATATCAAATCCATACCTCTTACAGTTCTCAAGATATAGGGTGTGACAGACAGACGGACGGATGGGCAGACGCCGGGTAAAGTGATTTGTAAGTGTCGCTTTGTTCTGCATGCGATAAAATAAGGAGGACTATTCATGCAAAGAAAAGCAAAGGCTTATATTAATATAGCAGGTATAAAACAACATAAGGAATGTGAAGATTTCTTTTAGTCAAAATTACCAGTTTTTGTCTTTGAATGCATTGTATAACAAATTCAAACTGTTCTTCTGTACGCTTGTACCACATCATTTCTCTGTTTTGTTGATAACTATGTTTATTACTGTAAAATTACTTATTTTAGTTGGGTCAATTTTTTCGTGATCTGAAGAACAAATATTGGTTCGAGAGGATTTGATTTCGTGGGTAATATATTGACTTGAAACTGTTGTAAAGAATTTTAAAGATTTTGTCGGGGAAATGAATTCGCAGGTCTCTTCATACCACGAAATCAACGGAAATTGACCCACACACTCACCCAACCCCACGAAAATTGGTGATTTCACAGTACATGTATGTCATTCGTTGTTATTTTCCATGTTTTCTCGTAAAGTGGTTAGGCCATTTTTTATAATCCAAATGGGGGACGTGGTAATTTTTTTTCAATTTATAGGAAAGAATCGACAAAAAGGGATTTCCTCGAAGTTTGTTAGTGTACGACTACATGTATAAGGTAATTTAACCAGAGTCAGCCAGCCGTAGAAGATCCATTGGTGATTCCAAATGATTAAAACGTATGTAGTGATCTATTTATAAGCAAGAATTTCTTTCTTTAAGGTCAAAATTAAACATTATGTAATGTCTAATAAACAAGTGTCGTTTCACCTACTGAATGTTTGTTAGCTAAAGGGTATGAACGCCCTTAACTAAATAATCAAGAACAGGAAAAAAAAGTACGAATTAACTGCCAATTAAGTTACATAACTTCTTTTAATTTGATGAAATTTACTTATACTTTCTGGTTCCTTTTTGCTTGAATATTATTTGAAAGGTTTTTCCCTGTTGCATACACATTATCTGAACGATACCTAAAATTATACGACTGTACATCTACAACTAGATTAAGTTAGAATTATCACTGTAGTCAACACTATTAATAACAACTTTTGAATAAAAGGATATTTTCATTTAATCTGATGCCATTGCTAAAATCACAAAATATGTATATTTTTTTTATGGTTCGGCTTACAAGAATTAGAATATCATGCCTTACTATAATGTTTAATGGATAACTGATATGTCAAGCGTTTCTTCATGTTCCTAGACTTAAAAAGGTAAATACGGTACTCTGAGGTTTTTTTTAATATGTGTGTCGTTTTAATCATTCTTAATTATGTTTTGCCAAAGCAAAACATGTATGTATATTTAAAGTTCTTGTGACGCAAAAATGATACCGATTATACATGACAACATCTTAGATATCTGGTAAATGTTTTCAAGTTCCTGTATTTTTTTTTTTTTTATAATTTCATTATTGTATTCAATGTATTGAATACAATCAAAATAATTTTTATTTATTGATACATGTATTTGTTTATTATGTAATAAAATAAAGGACAACAACAACCAAACAAGTACATGCATTCTTAACAATTATAATGCATTGTAAAGAACAGTTTAATCATAGTGCAATCTTTTGAATTTTTTATCATTTTTTAAATTATAATTAATTGCTATAATTATTATCTGATAAAATATTATCACACCAAAATACTATACACTTGTAAATAAAAATCTTATTTTTATTTTCATTTCAAACATTTCAGAAGTATTTCATAAAATTTAAAAATGGTGCGTAAGTGCAAGAGGGATGTGGTAAAATCAGACAATTGTCTTCTTAAAACAGTTACCGTTTACGGTAGATCAGTCGGTAGAGCGCTTGCTCCGTGATCGGGAGGTCGTGAGTTCGAATCTCGGCCGCGACTGACCTAAGTCGATAAAAAATAGGTAGCAACTGTTCCTTCGCCATGCGCTCGGCACTTTGAAGTGAAAGTTGCGGGTCCTTCGGATGAGACCTTAAAAACCGAGGCCCCGTGTCACAGCAGGCGTTGGCACGATAAAGATCCCTCACTGCTCAATGGCCCTGAGTGCCGAGTAAAGGTCAAAATTTGAAGCCCTTCACCGGTTTATGGTGACGTCTCTATATGAGTGAAAAATTCTCGAATGGGACGTAAAACAACATACAATCAATCAATCAATCTTAAAACAGTTTTAATTGATGATCTGTAAATGAGAGACAGATTGTCCATAATCTGAGATACAGGGATGACTTGAACTATCAAAGCGGGTGTATTAACACAATTTATTTTAATTTGGAAGACGTTTGTAGAACATAAAAATAATATATTTACATCCACTAAAACCATGGTTGTTAATCAGTCAGTAAACACTGCTAAGATTTCTTGAGCAGTGCCTGTTCCATCAGTCAAACAGACAATGATGCACACTTCAATTATATAATATTTAATATAATATGATATTATTTGATCGTACTTTATATGATATTTATACAGATATAAATATAAACAATGTCTTTCTTTCTTTGTCATTACGGGGATTAAAGTTGCAGCTACTGAAAAAAAATACATAACCTGCTCATGCGGGTTATGTATTTTTTCTGCAACAGCGGCAACATTAATTCCCGTACTAACAACCAAAGAAAGCATTTTATTGTTTAAAAATACACATAATTCAGATAGTAAAAGCGTTATAACTCAATCTTCCCTTAATTTATGTTTTGCTTAAGATTCAGAGTGAATGTAATATGATGGCTCACTTTCTAAACTAGTGCTTGGCAAAATAAATTATAAGATTATGCTATATTTTCTATCCCTAAGCATTTCCATACAAAAAACTAAGTAAATATTCTGGGCCAGGATTCAAAACAATTATCCTGAATGCTATTTCTATAAAGGGCTTTGTTATTGCACTTTACGTCCGGCTTTTTAAAAAAACTGAATGATTTGTGTGCATTTGAATGAAAATTTTAAATAGACGCTATCCCAATTTTAAAATTTTTCTGTGTAAGGTCCTGTGTGACAGTCAAACCACACATAATGTAAATAAGCGATCTCATGTACCTTAAACCTGTGTTTAAATATCACACCAGTGACGTAACGTTAATCGTGACCCATTACCTTACTAAAAAAAGTCAACACAAAAACATGTTTCCTAATGTGATCGGAAATAACTAGCATTTACCTGTTCGTTAAATGATTATATTACCGATCAAGATGAACCACTATGTGTATGCGATTTTGTTGATTGTTTTTTATGTGTTATGTGTGGAAATATCAAGTATTTACGGGAAAACAGTGCCCACTGTGCCATCAAAACCATTCAAACGAGGTTTAAGCCTAAAACCAGAACATGCCGAAACGTTGAACATAAAATGCACAGGTAAGTCGTCAAATACAGACTTTATCTGAATACCTTAAAAAATGAATGTATATGTGTACGTTTTACGCAAGCAAAACCAAAAAAGTTTACCGTACTTCAAAGCAATGAACATTCCAATCAGATGTACACTGAATATATAAAGTATATGATGGTAATTTATTCACACTATTGATATATATTATATATGTATTACATTTGAGAACGAATTAACAAATACACAACCAATATCTTCAGTGGCCTGATCAAAACATTTATAATCGTTTGAGTACACACTTATACACGATTGTGAAGATTTAAACGTTCACAGAAAGTCTTTGAAGAGAAGCTTTGTCGCTAGTTTTTAAGGTCAATTTTTAATCCGATCTACAATTAAAGATGTTAATTTTAAAACAATAAAAATTCTTTAACTTTCATTTAATCACTGTTGACATTTTTATTATATAATGTCGTGAAGAAATACTTCTTTGTACCCATTGACAAACACTGAATTCGAAATATTTGAAAATATTCTCTGCTTCAAAGTGTCGTTTATTTCCCTATTTATCTTCTTCTTATGTATATTCTTGTTAATAAAGTTTGTTAGGGTGCATAATGGTCAGGAAAGTTACTGATACGAGTCGTTCACACAGATACAAGTCTGAATGTTATCAGTATATGATATGATTTATCTAAATTGTTTTGTTAATAAATGATGACCTGTAGTCCGCATTTAACCTTGATGCATCATAACTGTTATTTGTTACAAATTTGTCCCGTATTTCTGTTGTGGGAAACGTTACTACGGAAGCCCAATAGTGCAAACCAAAAATAAATAAACAAAAACGAAATTATTAAATAAAGAAAACGAAATTATTAAATAAAGAAAAACGAAATTATGAAATAAAGAAAACGAAATTATTAAATAAAAAGCAAACGAAATTATTAAATAAAGAAAACGAAATTATTAAATTAAGAAAACGAAATTATTAAATAAAGAAAACGAAATTATTAAATAAAAAACTGAAACTAAAATACGGAATTTATAGATGTGCATGGTAAGGGCCTGAACCCATGAATCATTCCATAAAGAGCACGTGTTCTATGACCTGATTTTGTTTCGACATTAAAACAAGTGTGATATTTCCATTTACACTCAGCTATTCCCGTATCGATAACATAACCAGTTGGAGTAGACAATCATAATAGATGAATAGGGGAGAATTTTACCTTTGGTTATCCAATATGCTTAGATCTATGTTTTTATCTTTCATTAACATGATTAATGTGAACTTAATTTGACCAGTCTGATGAATTGGCCAGTGATGACAAGTTTACGTTAGTATTAGCTTTCTTAAACCCTCAACTCAGAAGGTCTTATTATTAGCAAACAATGAATCTGGACATGAAACATCAAAGAGATTATGCTAATAAATTGCACAAATATTTAAGATATACATGTCTGTTAAGATTCCGTTGTTTACAACTGCTGAGCCTTATAACATTTAGGAAATTCCCATGGTTATACATCTTTTTTTTCAATTATAGCACAGTACAAAAAATGCTGTAAAATGATACGTTACCGATCGGAACCCATTATAAATTATTGTTTAAAGAGAGCAAGTGCAAAAATTAAACAAGACAAAGTTGTTACAATGAGTAGATTTTAATGATTGCTTACTTTATTAAAAATTAAGCAAAACACCTCTAATTTCTTGCACAGGCGCTCCCCATGTAATTCTGTAAATGACGAATGATAAGTATATATATATATATATATATATAGGTCTACCCCTCAATACTATAAAATCAACAAGGTTGATTTTATAGTATTGAGGGGTAGATATATATATATATATATATATATATATATATATATATATATATATATATATATATATATATATATATATATATATATATATATATATATATACTTATCATTCGTCATTTACAGAATTACATGGGGAGCGCCTGTGATTTCTTGGTCATTTATCAAAGCATAATTAGAAGTGATGCACTAACTATTTGTTCTCACATATTCTAAATGACAAATTCTAAATCTGTATTCATAAGTCAGTGATAGTTGTGAATAAACAATGCACACACTTGCATAACAAATCCAACAAGTATTCAAATCATTCTCTTTATTGTTTCAACAACCTAAGATTTATGGGTACACAGATAGGGCACTAGGTTTAGTTCGGGGGGAATTCAGCGATACGATACGCAAGGCCTTGACCTTTCAGCGATTCATGAGCTCTTTTGGAATGTCATTAATTTTATGTAAGCAGAAACAGCCATCCTCGCTACGTCCAGGCTTACAGGCTCAAACTTTGACGTTGTGGGGATGCGACACAGCATCAAATTCCCGTAAACAAAATTGAACAGTTATTAATCATTTACTTTACAAATGCGAATTATAGGCTGTGAGCACATGTTTTTCTACGTTTGTCAATTTGACATTTATCTAAGTTTTTTTTTTCATTTCCCCCACACTTGTTTCAATGTCGAAACAAAATCAGGTCTATAGAATTACTAAGTGATGCTTTATAACACGTGCGCTTTATGGAATGATTCATGGGTTCAGGCCCTTACCATGCACATCTATAAATTCCGTATTTCAGTTTCAGTTTTTTTTTAGTAATTTCGTTTTCTTTATTTAATAATTTCGTTTTCTTTATTTAATAATTTCGTTTGTCTTTTATTTAATAATTTCGTTTTCTTTATTTAATAATTTCGTTTTCTTTATTTAATAATTTCGTTTTCTTTACTTAATAATTTCGTTTTCTTTATTTAATAATTTCGTTTGTTTCTTTTATTTATTAATTTCGTTTTCTTTATTTAATAATTTCGATTTCTTTATTTAATAATTTCGTTTGTTTCTTTATTTAGTAATTTCGTTTTCTTTTATTTAATAATTCCGTTTTTTATTTAATAATTTCGTTTTTTATTTAATAATTTCGTTTTCTTTATATAATAATTTCGTTTTCTTGTTTCTTATTTTTTTGGTTTGCACTATTGGGCTTCCGTACGTTACACTGTCGACAACTCAACACATCATGCCATGTTAATCGCTCACTCTTCATTGGACAGACAGAAACGTACGATATATTGGTTTAACTTTCACAATTTTTCTTCCGATAAAAAAATCCCTTTTTCAAGTAAATTTGATAGCAAATTCATCGTATTGAATAAACGTTTTGTCGTTATTCAGATAATGAAACTTGCACAAAAAGAAAAATGTGAAGCTTTTAAAACACAAAACTATTAATACCCTGGGATTATAGATATTTGTATAAGTAAACTACCTTGATTTAATTTAAATACTCGATTAAAATACATTCATTGAACATTATCAAGTACGATACATGAGTGTATTCAAGTTTTAGAATACAAGGACGAAAAAGATATACATCTAAGGTTTCTAATGCTTCATCAATTACATCTTTTAAAATACATGCACTCTTTAAGTGTTGGAACATTTTTTAAGCAGACTTATGCTTAGCACTTTATGGAATCTAGCTCTTCTTAATCTTTTTCCAGATTGCATATACAGAGATAAAACTGATATTAAAATTGGACATATACATGCACATACTAAACATAATGGAAGGAAAAAACATCATCACAGACGAAGAAATCGTAGGAAAAACAATAAAAGAAGTCAACACAGAAACAGCCATAACCTAAGCCCAAATCGTCATATGACAAGTTCCAACATGGCAGCCTCTGATCCTTCAGCTCATCACGTGATCTATCCATCCAATCATCAACAAGATTTTCCTCAGTTGCCAGCTGCTGTTGCGCGATTGGTAATACTTGTAAAATAAATGCTATTCATTAAGTTTATAAGGTTTTTAAGATTAAAGATAACATTTTCGATATTTAAACAACAAGAAAGCATTCCATATAGATATACAACGGTAGAAAAGAAAATCGAATGCAATGTGTTTATTGGGAGTTCATGCAGATATAACATTTCGCGTAACTCCAGCCTCCAAGAATCAAAGACTGAATTTTAAAAAAAAAATCATAAAAATTAGCATAGCGTTCTACAAAAAAATTATAAATGTAGTCAAGTTTAAATCTCTACATCTTTTCATTTACCATTAACCTTTTTTTTAAAAAAAACAAACAAAAAACAGTATTAATGATATTCTACTCCTTCAGTTGTACAAGAATATCTTGACGGTTGTTTTAAACCTGATATGCGGTATTTATCATGGATCTAGCTCACTTACCTTTCAAAGATCTCCAATTGCATGCAGGTGGTGTCACCATTTTCTATAATTCGTATTTATTCAAATGTAAAATTGGTTCAAAATCTTTAAAAGAAATGTGCATATCATCGATCTTCGAAGTCTCGTTTACATCCAGTTACAACAATAAGTGTTCGAGGAAGAATCAGCATTGTTCTTTCTTGTAATTGGCAATTTTAGAACCTTACCACAGGCATTGGCAATAAATCATGAGGTCTCAAATATTATGAATATAATTTGAATTTTCCATCAAGAATATTACAAATACAGCAAATAGGTTTGTAAATTTAAGATATTACTACATAGATAAATATGTGTTTTGCTTGACTCTTGCTCATCTATTAATGAGATAAATATAGCATATTTTAAAAAATGAACTACACTTTTCAATCTTTATTTACCGTCACGGTAGCTCAGTCGGTAGAGCGCTCGCTCCGTGATCGGAAGGTCGTGTGTTCGAATCACGGCCGCGACTGACCTAAGTCGATAAAAAAAAAAAAAACAGGTAGCAACTGTTCCTTCGCTAAGCGCTCGGCACTTTGAAGTGAAAGTTGCTGATCCTTCGGATGAGACCTTAAAAACAGTGGCCCCGTGTCACGATAGGCGTTTGCACGATAGTTAAAGAACCCTCACTGCTCAATGAACCTGAGTGCCGAGTAAACGTCTAAATTTGAAGCCTGATGACGTCTCTATATGAGTGAAAAATTCTCGAACGGGGCGTAAAACAACACACATACAATCAATCTTTATTTAATTGAGGAATAGAATTACTTTATTATATGACATTAACAGGAGAGAAGATTGCACCCATCCTTGTCAGGATCTATAAGTAAACTGAAAGAGACACTTACAAAGATTCTTCAGAAGATGAAACGAAAGTTGAACGAGGTAAAATGATAAGAAAATAAATCATTATCTGGCAAGGAAATACTTCCCATGTTTTAATAAAATTGTATGTTTCAGAATCTCAGTTGCATCAGATTTCTCAAATGAAAGTACTGTATTCTACTGCATCAAAGAAGTGTTCGTTTAAATCAATAAAACTTGTATTTATTTAGATGCATTTTGAACGTCGAGACTCGCAAGTATCAGTTAAAGACAGTATGATGAAAGTCCGGGAGGAGTTACAACACATCACCCAGGAAAACAACAGGGCATATGGTAAATATTGGAAAGATGACGCTACATGTATATGCAATTGGCAAAGTCATATTGCCCACTAAACAATATAAATGATACATAATTACTACATTTTCTTATATCTCATCGTTATAGAAATGATAAGGTTGGAAAACACACTTTACAGCATTAAACTTGAGCAGGAACAAGGTTTAATGAGGAAAGAATCTTTTTTGCTATTTACATTCATTTAACAATGATAAGAATCGTTGAAATCAGGAATGAACAGAATTACTTATCAAAGAAATAATATTAGTGCTACATTTACATTAATATAATGTTACGAATACGTACTTGTAGATGCCATTCTCGATGTATCACAGCTGACCAGAATGGTTCTACTGAAACAGAAACAACAAGGAGCCCCAGCGCCTCTCCATCACGTGAAGAAACCCGCCTGGATAAAGAAAAGCTATTGGAACCATGGGAAAATGGATAACGTCAAAAACGAAAGTTATCTAGTGAATAGTACCTATTTAAAGATCATGAGAATGAAAACGTAAGAAATTTCTTTTCAATAAGATATTGTGTCTTTGAAAAATTATGACGTTTTCGAAGAGGTATGAGCAATTTTAAATTGAAATTTTCTCAATGCATCTCTTTTATATTCTTACAGCGTCAATCATGATTTTCAGACTCAAAAACTGAATTCATATATAGGAACATAAACTTTTGGAAAAAGAATCGGATGATTAAAGACAGTTGATACAATGATAAAATCATAAAATAAAGTTGAAAGTTTCCTTAAAAGAATAACAGTGTAAAAGTAAATGTTCTAGACTGAATATTTGGTTGCACATTCTGTGTAACTCAACTGTAGACTTTTTACAGCAACTTTGTTCAACAAGATGCCCGGATGGTGCAGTTGAATGACGCCATGAAGGATGGTTTGTCTGATCTAGAGCGACTAAGAGATCTTAAAATACATGCTCGACGTGTCCTTATGGATCTTTATGTGGGGATAGAGAACAAGGTCATCCAAAAGAAAGTAGAGAGATACAGGGTAAGAAAATTTAAAGAAAAAGAAGTATGAAAAGAATACTCAGTGAAAATACACTAATCCGGGTTTGAACATATAAAAGTGAAACAGACAAATATAGAATAAGATCAAGCAAGATTAACGAAACTAATGTAGAGTTATAGCACGAAAAGAGAAGTAGACAAATGAAGGGCAAAAATAAAGATAAACCAAAAAAAAATCTAGGGTTATAAAACATATAACACAGAGAAATAGACATAATATTAAAATTAGGATTAACAGAACAAAATGTAAGGTGAGAACACACGAAGAGTAGAGGGGAAAAACCATTGCAGGGTAGGAATATATATATATATATATATATATATATATATATATATATATATATATATATATATATATATATATATATATATATATATATATATATATATAAGGTATGGACACTTTGACTGGGAAAAACACACAAGAAAAAAAGACAAATGTTGAAGTTGTGAAAAGAAAACCTAGAAGAATATGGAAATGAGGACAAGACAGACGCAATAAATTAGCTTTAAAAAATTACAAAGCAGACGGCTGGCGTATACACAGGCAAAAAAAAGCCATAACATTACACATAAAATGAAAAGATGTAATGTTATATACCGGTATTAATGGTTATGTCGCGGCACTTACCTAAAAAATGGAAAATTTGATAGGATCGGCAAATTTGTTGCATAATAAAAAATGGTGAAGCTCAAAAAATCGAAAGTTTATCTGGATGCAGATACCTGTTACAAATTTGATTGATGAAATGATGGCATTATACATGACTGTTTTATTCGGAACAAATCAGAAGGGGGAAACTGAAGTGATACAAATGAAAAAAAAAATGCATAATTTGCAAAACATCCTTAAAAATAATTCTCCACATATATGGCTTAGAATATGATTTCATTTCTTTTTTAATCTTATATTTATTCATTGCAGCAATTTGAGACTGGTATCAGAAGGTATATAAATGAATCTCAGGCTTTAGCAAAATCTGCATACATGGACCTTAGATTTGCCCAGCGGACATTCATGGTAAGTAATCTCCCTAAGGCGATCTGTAATAAGATTAATTGGATAGGTTTTGTAAATTCTTAATGTCTGCAACCCTTCAAATTACGGAAAGTCAGTCGAAGTCTATTAAAGATTGTTAAATCAAATATCTATACCGTGCATATTCGGAATAGATTTATTTTTGAAAAGCTATATACAAGAACATTCATAAATTGAAAAACAAATTTTGCTAGTTGATACTGTACAAGGTACATTGTACATGTACACAGTGACGTGTTTTAGAATTCAAAACCAGAAACCTTTGTTTTTATTGAAGGATAATAAAGATCTGAGTAAAAGTATAGAACAAGGACGAGAAGGAAAAAATCAGACTTCTGGGATACGTGTAAACACTCAAGGCAGGAGTACGGACATTAGAACACTGGTCAACTTGGCCTACTCTAGGTCAAGAAATTTACAGAAATCTGAGGAATTTCTACACAGGTGACACATTTAAATGATATAATGCTCTTTTCTAATACCATGGGTACTAATTTATTTTAATTATCATTTTCAAATCAAAATAAAAAAAAATATTAATACAGACATCTATATACTGTAAATTGAATTTTTTCTATAAGTAAATATTAAATTGCAGTATCTTTTACGATAAAAACAAGCAAAATAATGTATGTTTGTCATATGTTCAACATATGTTAATCATGAAAATTTTATAAGTATACTATATAAACTAAACATACCTTCGTCATACCATTAAATGACATGTTGAACACCTTTCATCTGATAAAGGATATGTACTATTCATATACATGCATGGGACATATTTTACACTTTTATAAACATATATATGTTCAACATATACTTTACTCGTGGTACACCCCTGTAAAATATATACTTGGATTTTATTCTGTGCATGTGACATATTCTGATATTCATTTAAGAAATTATACTAGTGCAACATTTTTTACAATTTGATAATTTACAATTTGGTTTGGTGTCTTTCAGAACAGTTATACCTGTACTGTTAAAAGCCCGAAACATTACACACGGAGATGGAACATTGCTTATAATGGTTGAGACGCGAAAGATTGGCGCAAGACTAAAATCTTACATACTGGTGAGCTTAAGACTTTAAAAGCAGTTATCTATCTTTAACTGAATACATTTTCTCGTGCTCTTTTATAAAATCAGTTCAAATCAGTATTGTTACAAACTGATTTTGTTTCAAGCATGTAAAAATGAATAAAAGGATAGGTAGTGATCAAAATTTTAAGTATTCTCAAAAACATATGATAATGACGAAAGGTGAACATTACATAGACTATTGTCCATTTGATTGCCTGTCATATGTTATGACCGTAATTCTCGTCTTCTTCAGAAAATAGACAGAGTGCTTGATCATCTCAGAAAAGCATTGGGCGATGAAGACATTATTGAAGAGCGTTGTCATAACCTTCTTGCATTAAAAGAATATGATAAAAAGACCAGTGTGATTGATTGTACTTCATATATTGCTGGTGAGTCTGGTTTTACGAAATAAAATGTAATAATTATCTAACTAAATAAAGCATAAAATGGCTTACAAGATATTTATTCCAATTTCACATTAATATATTTGATTAATTTTGGCAACAACAGGTATACATGTAATTAACTACTTCTAAAATTATGATTATATCGTTTCCGAAGAATGAGTCAATTGTTTGTTTGTTTGTTTAACGTCCCTTCGAGAATTATCACTCATATTGAGACGCAACCACTTGCTGGTGGAGGGCTGCAAATTTATATCTGTACTCGACACTTGATTTTGAGCAGTGAGGGATCTTTTTCGTGTCAGCACCTACTGCGACACGGTACCTTTGTACGGTCTCATCCGAAGGACCGATCTCCTAGTCGCACAGTAGATTCAAACCTGCGACATAAGGATCAACTCTCTACTCTACGACTCTAAAGCAAACGCTCGCAAACGATCTAACCACTGCGCCACTAACCAGGTGACCACGAGTCAAAAGCATACAATTCCTGTGCAATGTCATACCACCTCTAATTTACTCAATTTTCAGTTGACTTTAAATAGTAATAAAATAAAAAAAAATTAAATTTTTGTTTTTAAAACTAACAATTTTGATAAATGAAACAAGAGACAATTTCAATCTCAACCACAGAAGTTTTGCTTAAAAGACACTTATGCAATCATTTCGCTCTATGATTTATTTTAAAGAAATATACTCTACTTGCATTTTTACAGAAAGCAATGTTGAAAGTGGCAGTGGTTCTGGTGAGATAGAACTCATTGAACCTGATTCCTCCCCAGTACCATCTGTTCTGCCTCACAAGAACGGTACCTCGGACACAGTGACAGTCTCCACAGATGATTTCATTTTTATTGATGATGATAATATTACAATCAAGCCGGTAAAACCAGAAACAACTACCCTCAGTCCAGCAACCACTTCTTCAACTACCTCTTCTCCAACAACTGAAAGGTCAGGAGGTTTCTTTTTTAATATCTTCGGGAGAAAAACTACGGCATCCCCAACAACAAGTAAAAGTATTACAACTGCCACAACTACACCTTTATCAACTTCTCAATTGACAAGTACAACAAAAACTACCTCTTTAACAGTCACTACATCGACTACAGTGAAACCTACAATCATCACAATAAAACCATCTCCAAAAACAACTACAAGTCCTTCGACCACAACTACAACAACCCCAACTCCTTCAACAACAACTACCACTACTCCTTCAACCACAACTCCTACAACCACAACAACTACCACTACTCCTTCAACAACAACTACCACAACACCTTCAACCACAAGTACCACTACTTCAACCACAACTACCACAATACCTTCAACCACAACTACCACTACTCCTTCAACCACAACAAGTACAACTCAATCAACTACAACAACTTCAAGTACAACTTCCTCAACAACAACAGCGAGTGCAACACCATCGTCAAAAACCTCCATAAGTATGTCCCCTAAAACAACAACATCTGATTTGCTTGACACATCAGGAAGTGGTAGTGGTGAGGTTGATGATACAGAGCCTGAGGAAGAACTGCAGCCTACAAAATCACTACCAACAGCTACTGAAACTATTCTAATTGATGGAAATGGTAAAAGTGACATTTTTATTGAAAGACCTAAAAAAGAGATCATTTCGACCACCACAAAAATACCTACCACAACAGAATCATCTTCATGGTGGGACTGGGGATTAGATGACCCAAAGGCTGGATTTCCAAACAGATTTAGTAAATACAATTTCTTATTTCTTGCCTTTTTCGTTATTTTAAAATGAATATTTTAAGAATGACTTGTTCTCAGAATAAGATGCTGCTCTTTAATTAACAGGGGACAAATTGGCTGAAAAAGCACAAGTTTATAAATCAAAAACTGTTGATTTGTTTGAAAACTCAACAAAACTTCGGAAGCGAATAGAAGGTAAGGCTATGCATTTTTTAACAATATGTTTTTACATGACACTTCTCATATGTTATTATCAAGAAGAGCGGTAAGGTTTAAATCTCAACAAAATTGTTGATGATTATTAGATTATCTTTGAACATAATCACTAAAATGGTTTCTATTCGTTACAGAGATTAATCAGAGAAACGCAGTTTTTGTTTTGCGAAAGAACAATATGGAATCATTTGTATCCAATCTAACAGAAGTCTCAAAGCTTTGGAATGGGACCAAAGTCATTATTGGCAAATTCAAACCTAGAATTCAAAAAATGTCTGATGTATTTTTAAGTAAAGTTGAATTGATTCTGAATAAATCCAAAGGATTCAGTAAAATTGCAAAAGAAAAGCTAGCAGAGTATGAGGGAGCTTCAGCAATCTCGAAGAATGATAAATCCCGAAAGACCGCAGAGACTCTCACTGATTTATTGACAAAAGGTAATTTGCACGTCAAAACATTGAAATTTTCTTATATCATAATTTAGATGGCTAAATGTTTGAAATAGCATGGATAAAAACGGTTAGCTAAACACAATGCTTCTTCCATTTTTTAATTCATTTTTATTTTCAGATATGACAATTTAAAGCAATATGAGCTGCAACTTTGACGTCAGAAATTTTTGTTGCCAAATTGTAATGAACTATTTCATTGACAGAAAAAAGAACGTTTATAAACTTCTGTTGTACATATTTGCGATGGAAGAACTATTTATAAGCTTTGATTGAGGCAAAATTACATTATTGTCGTCCTGCACAATATTGATTTCTCTTATAATACTATATATTTGATTGTACAGAATCCTTTATTCTGAAACAATTTGATACTTTATTTCTGTCTAATTGATCAAAAAAGTTTAAATTACATACAAATTTATCATAATAACACATTTTAACAACAAAATAAAATTCTCAAAAATGCAGCTCATATTGCTTTAACCTTTTTCTTTTCTATGTTTATGATAATGATTGAAAATGAAAAAAAAAAATAAATATTCAAAACTATTAAATTTGAATACATAACTACTTATTTGTTTCTTGGTTGCTTCTTCTTAACAGGAATAAATTGTTTATACACTGTTACTCCACTATGTTCGTTTTCTATTGGCAGAAATTAAGAAAACAACGCCTCTTCCCTTTTTAATTCTTTTTTTTTTTTCAGATATGAATTTTTATATTTTCACCTTCCATATATTTATGTTTTTGATAATGATTAAAAATGAAAACAAAAAGAAATTAAATACTCAAATTATTTGATATAAGCATTGCTACTTATGTGTTTCTTGGCTGGCTTTTAACAGAGATAAAATGTTTGGACGCCTCTAATTTTCTTTTCACAATTTTCGTTTTCTAGTGGCAGAAATTAAGAAAAACAGACAGGACATTAGAACAATTTTGAGCACCCATGCCGATCCGTGTTCAAAAATACAAACTAGTACCGCAAAACTGAGGAATAATATAGCCGAATTAAGAAAAAAGATACAGCAGGCCAAGCGAATTTCCAGTGCTATGCCGGTATGTTAGTAAACAATGTCTCATCTATACATAATACATCTTTCTAATGACATCAAGGGCATTACATTACCCACAAGTAACATGCAATGATAAATAAATTTAATATTGTTTTGACTTCAAGTATAACATTTGGAGATTCATCATTATTTAAAAAGAAAAGATAAAACGGATGTATATCTTTAAAATATCCTGAGTACATAGTACACTTAATGTCTCTTATACAAATGTAATCAGAAAAACTATCTAATAAATGCAACAAAAATTTAAAGTTAAATTTGAACTTTTCTTCGAGAAAAGAAATACGCTTATATTTAAAATAATGAAAAATGATTACCTTTTCTAAAAGGCATATTACCTAGTTCAAATTTTAGAAAAAAAAATTAATAAAAAATTGGAAATGGATATAATAAAAACCAGAAACTATAAGGTACACATTTGCTTTGCTCCAACGAAAATATTGCAAAATGAGAACATGTGGCTCGAAAGGTTTACCAGTAAATAATTTTTCTAGAAGATAAAATACTATATTATTTTTCAGGCTTCCTTATCAATGGATGGAAAAGACTCGTTATCTCTTACTGTCACTTCCTCTCCTCTTTACAAATCACCTCTATCTACTTTTGGATTCTGTATCAAACCGGAGAAGAGTTCCATGGCTATAGCAACTTTACATAATCCATCATCGGTATGTGCACAGAGCATTTCTATTGTTTTATTTATTTGTTTTATTGTTTTATTTCTATTGATTCCCTTGTTAGCAGACCTATTTTTGTATTCATATGAAGCAGGCTTTATTCAAAAACTTCTACATGAGATGATGAAAACACTTGCTGTGGCCTTCAGATCGACATTTAAATATATCGACGACATATTATCAATGAACAATGATTACTTCCATTCATATGTCGACTCGATATATCCCAGTGAGCTTGAAATAAAAGATACTTTAGAGTCTGACACATCTGGTTCATATTTGGATACTTTATTAGAAAAATACTTTAATGGTAACCTAAAAACAAATGATAAACGTGATGACTTAAATTTTCAATCGTCAACTTCCCTTACTTATGTAGCAATATACCATTATCAGCTGCATATGGGTTTTTTGTCTCCCAGTTGATTCGGTACGCAAGAGCATGCTCTACGTGTGAACAATTTCTAAAACGAGGCAATCTATTGACAAACAAGTTGATGAAACAAGGATATCAACAGTCTTGTTTGAAGTCATCATTTTACAAGTTTTATGTTCTATACAATGACTTTGTCAACAAATACAATCTATCATTAAGTCAAATGCTGACTGACGTTTTTCATACTAATTGTTAGGGCATTATTTACATACTGAATTGCCTACGGATTTTTCCGTTTTTTGCCGATCATTGCCGAAAATTCTTACATGTCTCTGAAGCATTATCTTGCCTGCTACAGAAGGTCCAGAGAAAACTCATAAACTTGATATATGCCCAATCATTCAGCAAACTCTTGATGAATAGTTATAGGTACTTTTGTATTAAGCAACTTTCACTACAGTGCTTATTTTAAGGTTTAGTCTGACTATAAAGATGCCCTGACTATAAGGTTGCAATCTATCAATGAGTGCAAACTCTGGTACATTTTTGACCAAAGTTTGCTCTTGCTTTCGTGGCCATGCTATTTGAAGTCGTGGATACATGTAACAAGTTGTGTATATCCTGAAAATGTGCCCTTTTCTTAATCCAAGGCTCCATAAACATAGGCAGCGTGGTTTTCAAAAAAACCTAATGTTTTAAGTGTTTGGTGTTAAAGATTAAATGTTTCTAATTTTAATTTATAGAATTGAAATTGAACTTTTCCACTGCAACTTACTACTGATCCTCAATTTCATTTTTAAAGGCCAATTGGGTAGTGGAACTAGAAGAAAGAAAGCCAAAAATAACTTTCTTTGATTCCGATGGAAACAAAAAAGGGCAGCTGAAGTCCCAGACAGAAGTCGAGCTTGGAAAATGGGTCGACTTGAAAATTTTTAGGCAAGTCTTTTCTTTCAAAGTGTTCTAATCATGTCTTTGTCATGTACTCTGCTCATGTTAAATCTTCTCTTACAAGTAAAGTTCTTGTTTTAAACTTTATCTAATAGTTTTTTAACCGGACTTAACGAAAAAACGGCGTTTTCCTTGTCAATATCAGAAAACATACTATTTTGAACACCACTGTTAAACGATTATCTTAAAAGCAAATGTCATTTTCAAATGATACGCACAGAAATATTTCTGCATGATAACGCAGGGTATGTGCGCTTTAGAGAAAAACCTGACGAAATAAGAGCAACATATTTTTAATGAGGGAAAGTAAGAATACCACATGTGTATCACATAGAAGTTTTTGTCCAAAAAAAATTACAACTGTAGCCTTTGTACCTCTATTGTTTTGTGAAATTGATCATTTGATGTCTTTTAATATTGTATGTTAGCCATCTAAATGTGTCTTTCTGAAGGATGGGGAGGGGGTTCATGGGTAAATATTGTTAATGACTAAATTACGTCGCATTCCAGGCATTGTATTTATATATGTTTTCTGCGGGATTGCATGTCTGTATGAATGTGATATATAAGAAAAAGGTGAAGATGGCGAACAGTGATCGGGATGGAATAATATTAGAATATTGATAATAAAAATTACAGGAAGTCATGTAAATTAAGATTGGTTTCGAACTAAAAATTAAATTATTTTTTTTTCGCTTTATGTATATAAATCTAAGAATACATAATTGCGATGATCTTAATAGAATTATTATAGAAAAATTCGGGTTATTTTTCATCATTGTCTATGAACAACATTTTATTGGAAATTAAAAATGGAATGCTACATTTTTATGAAAGGATAAAAGTAGCAGTAGAATAAAACTAATTATCACTCAACAATAAAGTCTAATTCATGTGCGTTCGGTCATTTGATTCATTGTATAAGTATTTAAAACCCACTCATTCGTAGTAATGTTATAAAATTATATACACTGTATATACATTTAGTTTGATTTGACATGTATACCCTATTGGAATATTCTTTATGACTTTCATATTTCATTTTATATAATAAAACTTAAATATATTCCAATCTTTTCACCACCCATTTGCAAGTCTTTTCCCCTGTAGTAGATTAGAATTTCATACAAGTTAATTCAGTATTTAAAACAAAAGTCAATGTCATATTAATGTTGCATTTACGATTTTTATAACTGATTCAAAGTTCTGGAATTTCCAGCTGAAATCTATGAATGATATTTCTAATGAATGTTTTAGACGGATTTTATAAAATAAATATCATCGGTAAATGTAAACGGCTCCATGCAGTAACTATGGGAAAGGACAATGTTCCAAATTTGCCTCAAATTTACCGCAAGTATAGTATACAACCTCAAATATTGATTCAATTGGTAATTGTGCATAATAGCTGTATATCAGGCTTGGGGCGAATTACATTGTAAAATAATGCTTTACATTACCATTACTGCAAGAATTTGGGCATTAAATTACCATTACCATTACTCCAATTTCTTAAACTAATGCATTACATTACCATTACTTTAGCAAAATAATGCATTACCATTACCATTACTTTTGGAGGTTTTTCAAAAATAAAAATACAAAATTTTGCAACTATTGTGATAAACATGCATCCCACCCCTTCAAAACTAAACATGATGAATGATAATTCAAATTTCATTTCAAGTACTACACTGTAAATAATTGACATATCTTTTTTATTATTCATAGGAAGTTCAAACTTTTCAATTGCCAATATGATAAAAACATGTACAAAATGCTCTTTTTGTGTAGCTATTGATGCCATAAAGCAATTTAATTTTTGGGCAATTTATTCCCTCCCCAAAACTAAATTTAATTAATAAGACATATAAAGATTATTTGGATCTATAGTACCTTGAATTGTAACAAAAATTAAATGCATTGACAAACTTGTAAAAAGGGTTGGACAGTATGTACATTTCCTCCAAAAGTAGAATGTCTTCTGCTCCTTTTGTTGAAATGGATTTGTTATGGTCAGCTCAAGCTACATCAGCTCAATCAATGTTTCATAAACACAGTCAGAAGAAAAAAGAAAGGGCTGGTTTTTGAAGCTTTTCTCAAAACAATACATTGTTTTAATTGTTACATAATCCTAGCTACATTGCGTGTTTTGATGACACTCTTTTCAAAAGGTTGCAGTTATCAGTTTATAATGTACATTTATTAGTGTGCCTCATACCGGAATTATTTTTAAAGGACATTTTTATGATAAACTCTTTAAAATATTCTTTGAAATTAAATCTGATCTAAAATAAGTATGAAAATTTAAATGTGTGGTAATTGTACTTTCAACAGAATAAAAAAATGTATTCAAATAGATACAGAGAGTTTAAATAGGTTAACTTTTTTTCATTCATTTCTATTATTAAAAAAACAAATCTTATCAATAACTTTCATGTTCATTTTCATCTTTTTAAAAAAATAGGTATATACAAACTGCTATGTAATGCCAGCATTACTCTGGATTTGAGAAAGTAATGAATTACATTACCATTACATGTAATGCAATATTTTGGCATTACACATTACTAACATTACGTTGAGTTCAAGTAATGCATTGCAATGCATTACCATTACATTTAGCATTACCCCAAACCTGCTGTATATTGTAATATTTATTTTACATACGGTATGTATACCTCACAGAGATCACATTTAATTATTTGTTGAAACATTACTCAGCTACTTTTTTTACTTATTAATCGGCATTAGTATCAGTGAGTAGAAGTCAAAACACCTACCTTCAAAAACAGGAAATATTAACAGTATTGTCTACCTGAAACTTTGCACGAAAAGACGCAATGCAGTATTTGTCACACATCACATATTCCTCTTACCTAATTACGAAAGTGTGCGACATAAATAGAGTTACCATAGGAACTTGAATTAAACATATTTTCACAAAGGTCGAAAACTCCAATCTTTATCTTCTTAGGTAATTGATAGTCTAAGATTATTTTATGTCTGTTCTATGACACGTTAGACCTTGCCATTCATATGAGAAAGTTTTGAATATTGTACACATATGCGTTATTTTTGTTAGCTTATTTCAGAGACAGATTAAATCCTCAATATAATGAAATTTTATATTATTATCATCCCTGATTAACAAAAAGTAATCGCCTTGATATTTTCAAAAATGCTTTCTATAATATATATGATTGTTCTGATGTTAGTTTCATTCATCAAAACTTTAACATTGGCCATACGTTGGAACAGTTGGTGCTACAGCTTTCATATTTCACATATGAATTCCTTTTGACAAAACCTTTCTTCGGATATCAACATTTTTGACCTCATTACTATGACCTTGGAATTTGCCTACTTTTGATAAACTTAAACATTTGCCGTAACTTTTAAATGGTTGGTGCCAGGGCAATCATATTTCAAATGTATATTCCTTGTAACAAGACCTTTCTTTGGGTACCAACATTTTGATCTCATAACCTTGGTGTTTAACTTACTTTTGAAAAACTTTAACCTTGACCATGAGCTGCCATACGGCGGCATTAGTTTTTTCACAATCACATCTTGTTTGTCTTTTCCTTTAGGTTTGGTAGTTCCATCTTGTTAAACAGGACTGATCTAGAGACGTCTACATACAAGTTAGAAGCGAAAGCGATTCCTGGGCTTTCTGTGGTTATAGAACCACCTAAGTCGGCGACTGTAGGATTTGCAGAGGTACATTCTTCATATGTACGATTATGGATGTCGATGAATGTATGATAATACTTCTAAAATGATTCTTATTAGAATGAAAAGTAAGAGTTGAGGATTGTGAAAATGTGTAGGTTTATTCTTATTTCTCGACCCCTTTTGAGATCAAAGGACATTTTAACCTCATTTATGCCTTCTCTTTTCTTAATTTTTATGAAAAAAAAGATGAAATACATATGTATATGGAAATGGTATTTTACTGATCAAATTTGAGCTTTTGATGAACAAAAATATCATTAATATCAATTATTAACTACAGGTTTTCACTGTTTAACTGCATAATAAATATATCCGATATATTCATTTTAGATTATGAAACAAATGAAAAACACTTTATACCATTAAAAAAAAGTAAATGTATATTAAAATTTGTCAATGAATCCGAAGGCTTGTGCTAAAAATGGACAAATTCCATATACTAGTATTTATGACAATGGCTAACAGCTACTAAGTATACATTTTTTGCAATATCATCAGAATCAATTACCTAATATGCCAAAAGGGTGAATAAATAAAAATCGAGATTTTTTTTTCCCTTGAAATCATGGAAATTGCAAGGTATAAATATTCAATACAGTTCAAATGAAATAATTTTTAAAAGGAAAAGAGGATAGTATTAGATTTGCTTTATCCGGAAATCTTATTTTAAAAAACAAGCAAACACGAAGTCCAGATGTGGAATTCGGTGATAAATGATGCTTTGTATCATATGTAATTAATTATATTAAGTATATTATATTCCTTGTTTCAGACTAAAGATAATTTTACCGGCTGCATCGCAGAAGTGACCTTGAATGATGAGAGAATGGGGTTACTTGCCTCGAGAATAAAAAAGAAACACTGTACAAGCAACTGGTGCGGGGATTCAATTTAAAAAATGTTAACTCAAATAATATTGATGCATTAAATACATATGTAACTAAATATACATTTCAGTTTTTCAGTATTTAGGTGAATAGTTCACAAACTATCATTCATTCATAAAATACAATCGCCTATGCATTTAAAAGACACTAAAAAACGTCATCAAAGTGTTTCTGAAATTGTCAATCTGACAATTTTCTCTAATGCTAATTTATAATTCTTGTTAAATACGTGTTCCATCTATTTGTTTAGAAATCATAATAGAAAATCTTCAAAACATGAATCATGTTTAAAGGTGATGGTAGCTATTTTCAAAAGCCACAATTTTGTGAAGTTACACAAAATATATAGCGGTATGTATGTATGAAAGGGTGTATATCTTGATCCCAAACAAAGGGGCAGGGGTTAACTTTAACATGAAATTATGTTTTTATAGTTAGAGAAAGGTAACTTGGAAATAAAGTAACTCGCATTGGAGATTTTTCTAACATAGTTTAAACGTTGGTATTTTAGCGCTTATCTCATTTCAGCGCTTTTTTCGATAATGTTGTTCGGTAATTCACGTGGTCCACCACTATACACTAACGTATGCGACTTAAATAAGTTATACAATTATATTTAGATGATGTATTTAATGTTAAGTGTGCGATGTAAATACAGGTGTAGATTCACAATATTCTTCACGAAACTTGTTGTAAAACAAAAGTACATGTACATCAAATATGTAGAGGAAAGAAAAAATTTTAAAACATAATATAATAAACCTTTTATCTTTTTAGGATTATTGTTCTTGAATTTTTATAGTATTTTATTTTTTTAATTTTTCAGCTTGAATACGAACAATGCAGCTGCCATGGTGTTTGATGGAACCAGCTTTGTTAGATTCTCAGTAGATATGATCTATCAGCTCTATCCATTCAAAGAAATGGGCTTCCAGTATAAGACATACCAAGACAACGGCATTTTATTGCTTCTCAACGATCGCCTACAGGTTCAATTTACCATGTCTTTGTAAATAATATGTTTTGTATGCCAAGAGAACTATTTGTTTGTGTCAGATCCTCATTCGCAAAATACTCTAAACCAAGAATTATTCGCTGCAACTTTTATTCGCGCTTTGTCATTTTGAAGGTAATTCTCATCTAATAATTTGAGTGAAGGTAAAACATTTTTTTTCGAAATATAACAATTAAAGAAATAGTTCGCTGCGGGAAATATTCGTGAGAAAAAGAGGGTCGAACATTTCTCGCATGCAAATAAAAGATGGCATAAAATATGATAAATGTATGCAAGAAAACCACACATATGCGAAAATAATGGTTTTATGATATTGGTTATATACCTGCAAATCTGCTTTATGTGTATAATTTTGTAGGGCTTACAAGTTTTAGTATCCATTATGGACTGTAGATTACACGTGGAGGCGCGGATCAATAGGGGCACGACTGTCGTTCGTAGCACTTCTGCGGAGTACTGTAATGGCACGCAGCGGTTTGTAAAGGTAGTTTCATATTTAAATTATTTTGAAACATTTTAGTTTTTATAAATTATTGAACTCAAAATTTAGAAAACCAAAATGTTTGAAAAGTACTATTTGGCACAAAATTTGGACCAATTGACATAATAAATAATAATAATAATAAAAAAAAGAATACGAACCTTGTATATATTTAGAAATGTTGCATACGAGTATTGTCTATCCCAGTTTACATGATTTCAATATTGATGAGAAAATATTTCAATTTGGAATTGTGGTTCATCAATCAAGAAGAAAGGTCTACATGTTCATTTACGGATTCATAATTCGTATATTTCGGTGAATGGTTCGAATTATGTTTTATTCTGACTTCTGTCTTAACACTAAGATTCTCGCGTACAGGAATTCATATTTTCTTTATACAGTTAATATTTGGGAAAAAGATAGAAATAAAGACGAGTAACCCGGACGAGGTATTTCTCCCAGAATCCAGCACACAGGAAATTACACCATCCATAGATGACGGACTCTACCTGGGAGGTCTAGGATCGCAGAATAAAATGATATCCGGGAAAAATAAACTGAGGTAATGTAATCAAATTTTTTCTTCTATCCTCTACATCTATTGTCAAATGTTTATCAAATTTGTCCTCACAGATTGATTTTAAAAGATAATATGACCTTGAAAGGATCAAATATGAGTTTTCAGAATGTGTATTGAAACATAAATCAAATTGGGAAAATTTGTTGTTTCTTTAAACTGTTCATTTTGTATAGATGCAAAATGAAATAATTCTATTATTAACTCATCAACTATCTTTATTTTTCTAATTCACCGCTATTAGTATGAATTTGCCTTCTAGGGAAAAAATAACAGCAAATCAATATCGACAAAACTTGCCACTCTTTGATAAATAGAGAGCATAAAAAGTAAATAAGAAATTAAAAATGCCAAGGGAAGAAATTTTAATTAAAGCATAGAAAGGGGATACTTTAAAAACGTTTTTTTTTTTTCAGAAAATCTTAGCGAGAAAAGAGAAAATCAGTAACATGTAAACAGCTTTTGTGTGTATGCCACTTGAAAGTTCTGCATCTAATAATAAATTAGAAAATATCAATTTATGTGTGAATTACCATGTATTTCAATGTTTTTGTAATCTGATTATCCAATAAATAAGATATAGAAGACACTCGAAGTGTCAGAATAGACATGCAGTCAAATATACAATGAATTTTAAGTACATCAATAATCAATAATCAATAAACCAAAAAATTGATTCTTAATCTCGTTTTCACCAGTGTTTACTAGTAGTTTTAATATATTTCAAACAAGGTGGCTATTTTGTTTGTCTCCAATTTTAATGCATCAAAGTTTGAAAAAAGTAATGAGACTTTATTGTGCATTTTTTTGTAGATCTATTGTTGGTTGCATCTCCAATATGCAAATACAAAACAAGTTATTTCCTTTTTATATGGCTGAAAGCAGTAGAAATGTGCATGTTGGAAACTGTGATTATAATGTGAGTAGTAGGAAATGTTGTTAATCAATTTAATATTGAATTACTCTTACAGTGGTTTTGATCTGTGATATAATATAACAAAACTAAACAATTTATGCTCTGTCAATTGATATATGACTATATAAGTATGACTATATATTTTCTTTTTACTGCAAACTCTAAATATACGTTCTATGTCATCTTTGTTCTAACTTTTGATAGGCATGGTTTAAGTGTGTTCGATTTGATGATAATAGTCAACCGGTTGTACTTGATAAAGGAAGGGATGCTAAAATTGTGTCTTTTGCCATCACTCGTGATTCAGTGGGAAGAGTTCTCAACTATAAAACAAAGGTAACCATTTCTTACGAAGATAACAGTTTCCATAGCTATACAGGGAAATAATGTGATAACCAATTTGCAAGAATTCTTGTAAAAGAAAAGAAGACTATTAAGTATTCATTATATCAAACATGTTAATGTTAATAAACTTTTCCAATCACTTGAATGTTAGCATTGTTGGTTTATAAAAGAATGAGAAACTTTCATTATCATGATTACCCAACATTAAAGATTTTTTAGTCTAAAATTGCAAAGAATTAATTCATTCAAACAACCTTTTTACTAAATGCAGCTAGCTGTACATACTTTTTTCATTTGGTAGATATGGGTTTCCTATTGGTCTTTCTTGTAGTGGTTATTCACATGCTTTCACAAATTATTTCGATGTAAAAACGACTGGCATACAGCAATATACTTTGTTCTATAAATAGTATATGCATAATAAACCTTTCGAAACTCTAGCATTAATTATAATAGAACTAGATTTAACAAATGCCGTTTCCAAATAGAGACTGGTTTAAATTAGCTATAAGAAGGTATGTTTTTACATGTAATATTTACTTCATTGGGTTTAATACCATGTTCTTGTTTTATTGTCGTGTTGAAACCCTCCAAGAAAATTGAGGAAAAATAATAAATCAATATTCGAGGAAACTCATGTAAAATCATGACACGAGGCTAATTATCAAAAAACTATTTACAGTTAGCAACAAAAAGGAACTTAAAAACCGCGTATACCCGTTAGCATTATACTGTATAAAATCCATCCACATGCTTCAGAGTTATCCTTTTTCAGTATTCAAAGTGATACAATAATCTTGATCAGCTCTTTCTGTAAATCTAACCTTCTTTGATTTCTTCATCAAAATCAGATACGAACACTACCCCCACATACTTTAAAAAACGAAAATAAAAGTCCATAAATTTCTGGAAATAATGAAAGTAATTTTACCTTATCTATTGGTTAAGTAATGTAATTGTGATTTAAATAGTTACCAGGATATTTGGCAATGTGATTGACATCATTCCTGGTCAAAAATAGGTATAACATGTCTTATAGTTCTTTCTAATTTCTTTCCTGATTAACACTTATTCATAGCCTTTAAGGCTAGAATTGGGATCAAATAGTTTTAAATGTCACCAAATAGAAAGTTTTTTCCAAAATATTCACACAGGGCTACCCACAAAAACTTAATTTATCTATGTATTGTAGATGTATGTTTCTCTAATTCATAGCTCCCAGAGTTAGGGTAGGGTCATACAGGTGTCAAACTTTAGCAAGAAAACTGTATACAGAAAAATTTTCGCCTTTTTATTTAAGCCCCTTTTGCCTTGTTTGTCATTGGGCGAAATCAAATCAGGGTGAATTCAACCGAGACAGAGTTATCATTTTTAAACAATAATTAATAAGGGGCGAAGTTATTTGCAAGTATAATGGGGCGAACATAAACCTGTATTAGGTATATAAGGAAACGTTGTTTTAAAATTCTTCTTAGAAACAACAAAGCTTAATTTTTATCAATTTCCAAGTATACTCATGCAGTGTAGGTTGAAATATGGGAAAGTTTTAGTCTTTAGTGGTCAGATTAGGAATAGAAGAGTGTTAACCACACAGAAAGATGATGGCTTCCTCAAAATCAACAAGCTACAATTTGTAAATATGATATTAAGACTTGTCAATACTCTAGTAATCAAAACTGTTAAAATCTTAGACATTGAATTATGGCCACGATTAAAGGAATCTCTAAGTGGATTTATCAGGAAGGCGAAGTGCGACTAGAGTAGGCACTGCTACCAATAGGATTTTTGTCAACAGTGATTTAAAATTTATCAAAGATTCCCCATACAATGTCTTAACGTATATGAAATCTAACTTATAAAAGGTATTTCAGTTTTGAAAGTTTGTGAAGATTTCACATAGGCTTCAGCGCGATAGAGCCTCATGGGTGAAAACTATCAGGCCATATCCCTACCAACTTTTCCAAACATTCAAACTATTCATTTATTTCATTCATATACACAGAAATATATAAGCATATAGGACTTATTTCCTCATTTAAGCTAGATGTAGTGCTATCTGACTTCATTATCACTCCTCTTCAGTTTAAGATCATGAGGATGTGAATTTTAAAAATTCTTTCAAAGGAGTCCTAAAAGAAAATGCATCTTATGTAAATGTTGTTATATGGATACTGAGCATAACCTATGTGTCCTCATATAAAGGTTTCAGGAGTGATTAATTCATGTTTTGTAGAAGGATCTTATTCATAAACTACGATTTATGCGGGTCATTTTGCACGTACTCCATGAAAAAAAATCTAATTTTGAAGAGAAAACAGACTGAAATTTAGTTCAATTATGAAAGTATGTTGTAGTTACAGTATACGCTTTATCCACTAATGATTAAACAGTAGTGATTCTTTAGGTATTAGGAAATTAAAGTGTAATAACCCTCTGCTCTAAATTTCACTAATTTTTTTTAATTCCCATTGTCACTTCTAAGTAGTAATATTATACACTAATATTAACGACATTGATTTTCATCAACAACAGTATCATTAGATTCAATTGGAAAACAGAAAAAGTATGAAGTGTTGCCCACTTTTTTCAAAAATGAATATTTTGTTTAATCTTGATATGAAAAAAAATTGACTCATTGAATAGAAAGAACAATGATTTATTATCACAACATAAAATTAAAAATACGAGGTACATATGAAAACAATATTTAGAGTCATACATATTAAATTCGCATTAGGAAACATAATGAAGCGTTGTTTTTTTAAGTCAGAATATCGCATTGTTTTCTGTGTTTGTAAAGAAAAAAATGCATCCATCTACAAGAGTTATCTTTCTTATTATTTTTTTTTTTACTGTAGCATTATTAAAATTGTTTACTAAGAGATAGAAATATCCCATATTTAACAGTTTAAAAGAACTGGATGCAAATGTTTTAGGTCAAGTATTATTAGCAACTATCAAAAATATTGGCAAAAGAAAATAGAACTCAATGATTGTAACGTTATCTGAATTAGAGTAAATTTACTCTATAATGGTCCTCATTACTTAACTCTGGTAAGACAAATTATCGATCAGCTTGGAATTATTTTCTTGGGAAGTTATTTCTCTTATCAGAGAGTCGTTCTACCTTAAATACATTATATTTGGTTAACCAAATCACTCTTCAATGGAATAAAAACATTTATTCCTGCAACAAGTTCTTTAGAGTACATTATATATCATTTCTTTGCTTTATTTCCCCATTTAATTTAATACAAAGATGTAAGTAGAATTTCTTGAAAACACTTACCTGAAATATCATAACAGTTATTTTACATGGCCACAATTCCATATCTGTTAACAAATATATGCTTGACATGAAAGAATATTTACACTCTTCTTTGGAATCGTATGAAAATAAATTAAATTCTGTGTTTTATTTAAGCACTTCGATATAGATATCTTAGTGGATGGAAAGGGCATTGAAGTTGTGGACAACAAAGAGGAAGAACTTCATGATCTTCCATTTCCCACTGACCACGACAACCATTGGATGATTCTGACCATTACCGATAAAAATAAAAGGTAATCAACTCAGCATCCCTTGAGCAGAGTTACTATATTCATTTAAAAACTAGTGGACGGCTGTATATATATCTGAGTTCTTTTCGACATTGAAAATATGAATAATACATGGGTAAAGAAACTCAGATTCCTAATAGAATGATAATAATTGATTTTTTTTTTTACTATAAATTATTTTTAAATAAGGGCGAGTTTGTTTTGTAATAAATTACAATCAATTTACTCTTTTATTACATTTTTGGCAACTGAGTTGAAAAAATGAAGAATTTTAATCATTTACATGTATCATCTTAAATGACAAAGGTGAAGATAAGGAACAGTGATCGATGTCAAAAAACCATCAAATAATACAAATCTGAGAATAGGGCATAACACAAAAAACTCTGGAAATTCCAGCAGTGGGATCAGGTGCTTAGGGGAATAAGTATCCCCTATCGACCACTCACAACAGTCGTGAGCGCTATGTATTGATCATTTAGATGGAATAATTTGAAGTCACTTTTACTTTAAAAACAATAGCCTTAAAATTGGTACAAAATATATCAGAAGAAATACAACCTAATGATAGGTTATATTTGCAAACAATGTCATTATATTGAATTTACGAAATCCTGACTTTAAACGGGGTTGTTGTAACTTTTTTTAGCATGCTCTTGAGTAACGGATAAGTTGGAAGACATAAACACCACATGTAGGTGATTGTAGTATATTACTACATAAAGAAGGAAAGTTTGAGAAATTGAAGTCTTCCCGTTTGTTTTAGTTGTGAGCTGGTCCTTATCGTCTATAGTCAGTAAAACATCCAAATATAAAAGAGATGTTGCAGACTCTGAGGTGTGTTTTATTTCGAGTCCACTGGTATATATCTAGTCGAGATACATGTATGAATGGAAATAACTATTGTTCATTGATATATCTGAATGTTGAGCTGAAGGGCACAGATGAGTTTTCGTCCTCTTATGGAGAAGTTTTTAAATAAATTCTGCTTCATAGGAATATAAAAACAGTCGGCTAATAAGGTAGAACAAATAAGTGCTTTTCGACATTCCAACAGACATTTTTTCCAAAGATTACATCAATATCGTAATTGAGGAACTCCAGCATCCTTTTAATATCAACTACAGACTTGTTTGTAGAATCAGAGTTTTTTCACAAAGTTACGTTGAAGATGTTTTTGAAGATGCCTTTATTATTTTTAGAATAGTCCTAACTATAAAACAAATAAAAAGGGATATAATTGCATTTTGAAAAATTTCTATTCCTTCCAAATGTTGTCTTTTTAGACTTTTTTACTTAATCATAAATATCTCGACCCAAATTACGAAGCACACATACAACTTTTTTTTTACTTGTGACAAACAAACTAAATGTGCCCTTTATATATGTATTTCTAGGGTAACCGTAAACCTCAACGGTAGTTCAGTTTATGTCGAATACAGTCTTGGATGGTTTGTTGGTGGAAACACACACACGTCAGAGTATACTGTTACTGTTGGAGCTTCAGGGGACGGATCTCAAAGTTTTGTTGGTGGAATAACTCGCTTGATAATTGATGACAGGTAAATATAATTCTTTTACTGAAATTCCATTCAGTCTAGAACTATTCCTTTCTTTATTCATGTATTTACTTTGTTGAGGATTCTTTGCTCATTGTGGCTGTGATTCTTTTCTTTACAATACAATAAAACACACTATCAGCGAAGTGCGGGGGGGGGGGGGGCAATTTAGATGCGTTATAAATGTATTCTGATATATCCGGTAAGTTTCAAAAAAAAAAGTGTTAGAAACAGGGGGAACGAAAATCACTTCGCTCTGAGCGTAAATTCATAACAAATGTCTTTGCTGTAAATGTATTAACTGTATTATGAAATATGAATATAAAAGATTTTCAATAAAAAAAATCAAATGTTTCTTATAAGTGACAGACCCCCCCCCCTCCCCCCCCCCAAAAAAAAATTGAACTTGATTTAGGAAGATATTACAAGTAATCTTAATACTTTTATTATGCTATAAATTTTCGATTGACACCACCCCACCCACCCCCACACCACCCCAAAAAATTAAAAATAATCAATAGAATTTGGTCTTATTAATAACATTTGTAAACATGTATTTTATCATATATACATTTGTGGTATCTCTCTATTATATAAACATACAGAGAGCAAATATCTTCATACCTGTATGATGTTTTTCGAAGGTCATAGGCCATTACGTGACCTAATCACACAGCGCAGTAATATCTACATAAAAATACTTACTCTACTTAGCAATATAGCATGTTTTTCATGCATAAAAATGTACAAAATACGCAAGTAAACTGACGTTTTTCATACTGGTTGTTAGGCCATTATTTACACACTGAATTGTCGACGGATTTTTCCGTTATTTCCCGATCATGACAAGGAGCACACGGCGGGTGTGACCGGTCGGCAGGGGATGCTCACTCCTACATGGCACCTGATCCCACCTCTGATGTTTGGAGGTCCGTGTTTGCTCTGCTCCTATTTTGTATTGTATAATGGACTTTTGAGCTTGAATACTGTTCGTTATCTCCATATATTTCACGAAATATATTCTACTTACTTATTCAGTACCATCTCACCTCCTAATTTCAGTTGGTAATGTATGGTTTGAAGTTCTAAATTTAGCTAAATTCTGTTTCTTATGATTACTTAAGGGGAACATTTTATATAAAATGGACATCCAAAATAAAAAAAAAAAACTTCATGAAGATTACATTTCACACTTTTTGAAGAAATATTGCATTTTGATTCCCAAATTTATTGAAACTAATCTAATAGTTTTTGTTTTAACTTTTAATTAGCTAACAAGACAGTATCTTAAAAACTATAAATGATGCATTGTCTACCGGTATTGCAGAGCTTTCATTATATGGCATATATCCATTTGCTAGATGGGGAGGATCATATTTTCTCGCATTGTGATGGATTATACATTGTAATCCATAAATTATGCAATTTTACACTACAGAAGAATTAATAGAGACTCTAAGAAAATACAGAGATATAGGGGCCTTCATTTAATTTTAAAGTAAGACTATCTACAGAACGCTAGGCGTTAATTTCTTATGACATTCTTTTGAATTTATGTGGTTTGTTACTTTGCATCATTTTGATTATGTGATACTATAGTACTGTAAGTTGATGTATGTTTAAAAATTACTTTCTCAAAAGCATTGTCTCAAACACATATCAATATATGATAACAAAAACATTTTGGTTAAACAATGATTTTATGATCATTTACAAGTATGTTCGAAAACTGATGCCCATCTGATGATTTATTGTTCAACGACGAAGCTGTATGTTACACATGAAATCTTTTCTTTTTCTATTTATATGCAGTTTTATTTCAGAATTTGTAAACATTGGTTTCCTTCTTCTTACACGATATTTGCTTTCTAAATTTCGTTTTGTCGAGGTGGGCAATCTGCATTTTTAATAACTTTATTTTTCATTTCCTTATGAGATCTAAGATTTAATTTTATAATTATTTAAATCAACACATGGTATATTTTGGATAATGAACCACATATTTGTTTTTTCATTCATTAATTTCTAAAAATTGTAATATGAAGTTGAATGACCTAGCTTATGTTACCTGATTACGGAAGCAATTAAATCATAACGTCTGCTCTATCACATTCATATTCTATGGCTGAAATGAAATTGCGTTTTATTTTACATGAACATGTATAAAACTTATTAATTTTTTGTAACTAAAGGACCCTTTAATTAATTAAGATGTGACGATAGTTGTCTGGCTTGAGATATCCCACTGTGCACGTTATCCATTTTCCTGCCAATTTTGTTTTCACACGTTTTCTGCCAAATTAGAATACATGCAGTAGGAAAAATATCCGTTTTTTGTGATTTTCAAATTAAAATGGAAATGTCTTAATCATGATCATCCATTTAAAGACTCTCATATATGTTTTATAATATTTGTGTCTTTACAATGAAAATTAAAACATATTGGTTTAGGTCACATGTCTATTTTTGTGCAGGGAGACCCCACTTGATGATTATAGAAGTTCCCATCACCTGCAGAGCTGCAGACGACCGTTAGTGGAATCTCTGGACATAGCAGACATGTCAGAAAAACCAGTCTGCTGACGAACTCTGTTAATCATTTGTTTACCGGTGTCTGTCAGGATGCAAAATCAAATTACGTCACGATGAAGGTTCGACATGTTTGTTCAAGGCCCTGACATATATTTTGTACGTCCTTGCATTTATCCTTCAAAACAATTTCTGTGTTCATAAGTATGCATTTTAACTTTTAATATGATGTAAAATTTCAGAGAAGACAATTCGAACAAAATTAATCTAAACGTTTAAAAGCTAAGTATAATGTTACACCAGCTTGCATTTTGCACGTTATATATTTAATTATTTTAGCATGTATGTTGTCAGTATGTGTACTGTAGCTCACTACGACCGCATAATTGACTCACTGTTAAACTCAAGCTAAAAACAGTTGCTTCCACTCCAAAACTTTAAAATGCAAAAGTCTCACAGACACTTCTTTCTGTAGTAAATTTTTACCATAAAGTATATTGATAACAATTATTATCCTGTGGGGTAAAAAGTTATTACAGAAACAAATGCCTGTGGAATGTATGATGCCTTCAGTCCTTCAGAAATAATACATTATTGAAATATTTTTAAGGTTATATTGAATTGATAGCTCAGTGCATATATCTGGAAAGTCATTACAGCAAGTTCTGTAGCTTGAATGTTTAAAAACTTTCATGCATAACATTTTCTGTGATGCATGCTTAGTTTCGAGGGAAAAAAAATTACGTGCATTCTCGTCAGAAAATATTAGTTTGTGTAACCGAACTCACAGGAACAGCATAAAATTATAGTTATTGGTCAAGTTTCTGTATAAAGATCATGTCACCACCTGTCTACAGACTCGTTTATAAGTTGCACAGTTTTACCAAGAACACACTTCTGAGTCAAACACTCCTAGCAAAGTATTCCACTTGTATGTTTGACATATATTTTTCAATTTTGCTCAATATTCATAATAAATGTGTTCATATGAAATGCTTTCTAGAGTTGTCGATCTTTGTATGTAATATTTAATCTTTAGAGCGTCTTAATTTCATGAAAGAAAACTCTTATATTTATATGAAAAAGGAGAAAATAATGAACAGTAATTGGTCTATAAAAATAATTTACGAACAATGCATACTTGTGAACAGGGCATAAAAACGGACCCCGGAAATTTCTGAGGTGGGATACAGGTACTTATGAGGAGGGAGTAAGCATCCTCTAATGGCCGCTATCACCCGCCGTTATTCCTAGATATTGATCAGATAGACAGAATATTCCGTAGACAAATTTAGTATAAAAACAAAGGCCTGACAATTGGTATTAAAACATCAGCCAAAATACAACCAAATGATAGGTTATATTTGCAAACAAAGTCATTTTAACGATCACAGAACTTACGAAATGCTGACGTTAAACAGGTTTGTAACATCAACTTATCTGTTAAGAGCCTTCTTCGTTTTAAAAATGAATTTTGTTATTTGATAAAACTTCGTCAATTTATTTGAATGTCGAGTTGAAGGCCACAGCAAAGAGATTTTTCTTCTCATGAAGAAGTTTTTGAATAGATTTTGCTTCATTAGGAGTATAAAAACAAGTCGGCTAATAAAAGAGCACAGTAACTGCCCACCGGAATTTCAACAGTTTGTTGGAAGACCTGGTCTACAAAGACTGCATAAATGTTGCCAATGAGGAACTTCAGCATTCTTCAGAGTACTGTAAAATCACATGTTTTCGTAGGATCAGATTTTCGTGGTTTGAGGGAAAATATGGGGATTTGATTACGTGTTTGAAGAGTTGTTGAGTACTTATAAATGAGATAAATTATATTTCTGTTTGACATAAATTCGTGGGTCTCTTCATACCTTGAAAAGAACGTAAATTAAACCCTAACGAAAGTTTTACAATACTTGTTTGTAGCGTCAGGATGAATTTTTAAGATTGTAATTTTGCTGATGACCAACCACAAACTATGAAAATTTCCGAGTTCCATTTTGATATCAAAAATCCTAGTTCTAATTTATCATGAGGAATAATATTGTTGTATAAAGTGTAGAAAAGTCGTACGTTCTGATGTTACTGACTTTTTAAAAATTAGGTGTTTTTAATTTTTCCAAGTTCTTTGGAGTTTTAGAGAATCCACATCTGGTTTACACCACTTCTAGAATATACTGTAGCACAGTACGTCTAAAGTTTCTCCTTTGCAACAGTTAAATTTTTGTCAGAAGTAAAGATAGGGGCTCGGTAGAGCATTTACTTTATCTGCTAATATATCTTTGTAAGGATTTTTTATGAAGTTTACGAATCGAGTATAGGTAGGGTAGATCGAAGTCACCTTTGTCGAATGGAATGTTAAAAGTATTAAACATTGTTATGGGTGAATTAAAAAAAAAATGACCAAACGCATATTTATCAACCCACACTAAAAATACAGGCAATGAAAACAGATTTCTATGTCTCAGCATATGTCTTTAGATAGTGTTTAAATACCTGCCAAATATCACGTTGATATCTCAATTAACAAAAAAGTTATGCCCAAAAATGATGCTAAAATTGTCAGGAGTGCAACACCTTTTTGTGACATTTTGAAATTTCAATATTTTTGGAGATCTGTGAAATAAAAAATAATGCTTCATGTTGAAAATAAAGACTTTCCTGGTAATATTCAAAGTATTGAGCTTTAAATGTGGACTGTTGAAACTTTTGTTTAATCAAGTTGTGGTCATGGCTGATGTTTAAAAAGATGTTATACCATGTCAGGAGTGCAAGAAAAAATGTAGTGTTGCCAAAGAAACATTAATTGTAAAATTCTGATAGAAAATTAAGGCAAAAAAGAATTTTGGAAGTGTAAAATAATAACTGATATACATTTTAAAACTTAAAAATGTTATATAAATCACAAGCAGCATTAATTAGAGTCAAGTATATGTGCATACCCAAAAATGTCAGGAGTGCAACATTTGATGTTTTGCCCCCAAGCATGAAAAAACTATCATCATTATATGATTTTCTGATTTTTATTTTGGAAAATAAAGACACAAAGAACATTTGTACCAAACAGATTTATCAATTACAGGATCTGTCTGTGCTTCGGATCCATATTTCTATGGTCAGGAGTGCAACACATTTTTTTAAAGATTCAAGTTGTGTGACGAAAAGACTTCTATTCATGCTTAGAAGTATTCATTAATTAATAATGATCTTTTTGTATAATTTAATGCTAAATTATTGACAGTTTTATTATCAAAATCCTTCCTTTTTCAATTTTATCAATTCAGATGTGTTTTTATCTTTTTTGGTGATTTTTTTAATGAACGTTAAAAATAAACACACTAAAACATTGTCATAAAATTCAAGTAATTCCTCCTCAACTTCACTGAAACAACAGAACAAGTTCTTATGTAATTTTCACTTCACAATTCTACTTTAAAGGCCCCAATGCTTTTGGTCAGGAGTGCAACAAATATGTTAGAATTATAAATCATCCAGTAAGAATAAAAATAAAGAAAAAATGAAGAGTAGAATTTTTCTGGTGGGTTACTGTGTTTGTCTTCTAAAGGAAAATATGCTTTAAAATATATTTTATCTTCTAAATATACATTTAAGCTAGTTTTTTGGCATAAAATAGGGTATAATTCCAGATAAATGCGAATTTTAAATAATTTTAGTTATGAAGTATTGGACTATAAGTATTGCATAATTTCATTACCACTTGATGTTGCCAACACTTTACGAATTTTTGTGTTCTATGGTTTTAATTTTAAACTTTACTGCAGTCAGGAGTGCAACAAAACTGCTTCATAATTACCGATGTTTTTTAACTATCTTTACCAAAAAATAAGTTGAAAAAAATGCTTGATACTATTTGATGTTCAAAATACTATGTCTATCAACAAATTACAGAAATTTTACAGTCAATTCAGGGAATAGTTTTCATCATTTCACATATATTTTAAATACAATTTATATATATTACACTTTGCAAATAATCATGTTTTAAGGTCTTCAAAATATGAAAAACCTGCTGTAAACGATGAAAAATATCAACACAACAAATTGATTTACAAAGTAAGAATGGGTTATTGTGTGTCATAATTTTTAAAACAATGTTAAATAAAATACATATCAGATCTCAGGAGTGCAACACAATAATGTAACATAGGGTCACTTCAAAATCTAGTATTTTTTGTAAGAGAACTCATATATAACAATTCTTTTTTGGCTTAGATTTAAAGAATTGACTTGAACAGACAAAAAAGTGAATTTGGGGGAATTTTATTGCTTCATATTTTTTTCATATTAAAACTTTTCAAACCAGAATTGAAAAAATAATGTAAAATAACAATCAAAAAGCCAATTTTTTGTCACATGTACAAGAGAAGATACTCATTCAAGGTCTAGATTTAATCATTTATACCCCATTTACCATTTTGAAGCATAAAAAACTATAATTTCTTGTGATTATGTATTTTAGAAAGTCTTTTAAGGTGTAATGATATTTTCTTTTTTCAAAAGAAATTTTACTAATAAAAATTCTGAAACTTTTTAATCCAATTGTCTATTCTATTGCCACTTCAGGATTTTAAACTAGAATGCATATGCAGTATGATGATATAAGTGAAAAATATGTTATAAGTAGTTGAATTTTGCCCAAAAAATTCAGTTTGGTGGTCATTTTTTTTAAATTCACCCTTATGTAATTTTGAGTGATGAAGACAATTATGAGGGAGCATTTCTATTTCACATGAGCTCAAATGTCAAATGTCATTTATTACTAGCCATTTGTGGGTTTATTTGGCGGTCTAAAACTCTTTTACGTTTTTTTTTTCTGCAACCATTCAAGCTGCCTCGATATTTAATAAAAGATAATTGGTAACAACTACTGGACAAGATATGCAAATTGTATTCCACAGATATGGTGCTTAGGACTGTATGAACAATAACAGCATGTTTTTATGTTTTTAAGCATAACGATCATTCTAAATCTTCTTAAAATAGCAATGCAATTGTGATTACTCTTTTATCTTGTAAATCAAGTTATTTCCAAGTCATGACCTATTTATATCGGGGCTAAGTTTTACTTATTTATATACTACAAAAAACGTCTCTTTCGAACAATTATTTATCGATATTTTTCTTTGACAAGAACAAGGGACATTGTTGGTGTTATGATCCGTTAATATATTGTTATAGGTATATCATAAAAATCTCATATTAAAGAAAATACTTTTTTTGTAAGATTTTGTGTCGATTCAGTGCACTTGCAACAGGATTTGCACATAGGTAATCTTTTGAGTAATTATAACTGATTTAGCGAGGATTGGAACATTTACATTTGGATATTTAAGACAGAGGTACCCCCGAAAACGAAGTTTTGGAGGTATATAGATATCACCTTGTTCATCTTTCAGTCCGCCTTTCTGACCGTGCAATCTTGTCCGGGCTTTAACTTAGTAACGGAGAATCATTGGAGGCTCAGGTGTGATAAAGGTATTGCTTATGACCTGAGGTTGTGACATGACCTTATTTCAAGGTTATTATAAGCTCAAGGTCACTGTCAGACTAATTTTGAAATTCTTCTCCAGGCCAATACTTTGTGATGGAGAATCACTGGAAACTTATACACTACCTCAGGAAGCTTCCATATAAGATTTAACTTTCCTGGTCCAATGGTTCTTGAGAAGATTTTTAAAGATGTTTCCTATATATTTCGATGGAAAACTTTTATTCCCTATTGTGGCCCCATCCTATCCCCGGGAGTCATGATTTGAAGAATTTAGAATCTACACTACCTCAGAAAGCTTCCACTTAAGTTTCAGCTTTCCTAGTTCAGTGGTTCTTGAGATGAAAATTTTTAAAGAATATTCCTATATATTTTAATGTAAAACTTTGATTCCCTATTGTAACCCCATCTTATCCCCGGGGGTCAAGGTTTGGACAATTTAGAATCTACACTACTTCAGGAAGCTTCCACACGATTTTCATCTTTTCTG